TTTTGCTTCTGTTTGAAGAACTGAAAATATCTTTAAAGCCAAATAAATCACCTTTTCCTCGTCTTGTTTCCTTTTAGATGGTGGAACTGCCAGTCTGTCTGTGAGCTGAGCTGTGGCTGCAAGGGACTGTCAGGCACTATTGGCTGTGAGTTCATGTTCTTCTCCCTGGGAAATTGGAAATCATTCTCAGTTAGGTTGCAGAAAGGTTTTCCTCTGCCTTTGGCTGATAGATCTCCTCTTTCTGCCTTGGGATTTGCAGCTGTTCCCCCCTGGAGAGGTGGAGGAGAAAGGCCCTGAAGGCCAAGGGACCTGCCCTGTGTCCCCAGGGACCTACAGGGGACAGAATGGACACTCTTGGGTCATATCTGTGTTAGCATGTAGGGGACAGAATGAACATTTGGGGGTTAAAATGAGGGAATCAATAGTGGACAGGTGGGGAAAATATTGGACATAAGTCTTGAGGTTGTCTGTAGAGGACAGGAAATATTTTGGAGGGAGATTTGTTGTCTCCTTGTGCTGCACTCAGTGGTGGGTCAGCTCCAGAAATTTCCTGGGCAGCTACAAAAATGATCTCTGAAAAGTGGGAAAATCCCGCTGGCAAAATGCAGAGGAACAGGTGTTCTGATCCTCTCCTGCCTCTTCCAGAGCAAACCTGGTAATGCCAGGTGTCTCTTGGAAAAGGTTTCCCAGGAGGAAAAAAAAAACCCCAAGGACAGAGATGAGGGAATGAGCTCCCAATGAATAAGGATTTGATGGGTGCAGGAATGATTGGTGTGTGTTTTCCACTGCCCTTTTTATTCCCGGAATAACCTTAAAATGATTCCTTTAACAGACCAACCAAACTGGAGAATTTGAATTAGAGAGGAAGCGATGCACAACAAATGCAGGGAGAAATGGTGGAATCGTGATGGAATCCTGGAGTGGTTCAGTTTGGAAGGGACCTTAAAGCTCCTCCAGCCCCACTCCCTGAGCAGGGACACCTTCCCCTAGCCCAGGTTGCCCCTGGTGGCAGATGGCTATGGAAGTGCTGGAGGTGTTTAGGGAATGCTGATTGATAGTTTTTCCCCCACCTCTGGCCATCGGGTCGTTCAAAAGACTAATTCACCTCTTCCCCCAGGGAAAAACGCTGGAGCAAGAGGTGCCAAAAAGAACGGGGGTTTCTGCACGACGAAACCTGCAAGTGTCTGGCTTAAAATGCCCGCGGACTGTCACCGGAGCGCTCCCCCCCGGCCGGGAGTGCCCGATCCCGGCTGGAATGCGGGGCGGGGAACGGGCCACGGGCGCCGCCATGACAGGAGCCGAGGGGCAGGGACTTGTCCATACAAGGAGTGTCGGGGCGGGCCCATGCCCATAAAAGGCGCATGAAAGGTGGGGCTATGCCCGAAAAAGGCACATGTGGGGCGGGGCTGCGCCCAAAAAAGGCGGGTTTGGGGCGGGCCTGCGTCCATAAAAGGAGGATGTGGGACGGGGCTGCCACCATAAGAGGAGGGTGTGGGGCGGGGCTGCGCCCATAAAAGGCACATGTAAGGCGGTGCTACGCCCATAAAAGGCGGGTGTGGGGCGGGGCTGGGTCCAAAAAAGGTGGGTGTGGGGCGGGAAGGGCATGGCTGGAAGGGCAGGTTTTGGGGCTTAAGATGGAGTTTGATTCTCTCCAGGCAGTGAATGCTACTATTGAGGTGATCAGGGTTGGAGAGGAATGGAAAATTTAGGGGATTAAACTTGAGGTGATCTGGTGGGTAGAGACTGAGTCTTTGGAGGTAGATTGAGGTTGTCAGCAGTGAAGAGGAGGGGATCATTTTGGGGTCTCCCTTGGGTTGCTGCCTTGTCCCGTGGCTGCAGCGAGGCTGAGCCCCGTCCCTGCTGTTGCAGGAGCGTCCCGGGGCGGGGCTGTGCGGCAGAGAGGGCAGGGAGGCTGTGGAGCTGCCCCGGGGGGTCCTTTGCAGGCGGCGGCGCTGTCGGGGCTGCAGTACCGGCCGTGTCCGCCAGGCGGAGACTGCGGGGCAGGCACTGCGGGACACGGCCCGGGGTGGGGAGGGGGCGCCGCGGGTGGGACCCCCTGCGGGGGGGGAATATGGTGCCCCTGAAATGGGGGCCTGTGCTGGGCTATTGCACCGCCACCCCTCGTGTTTGGGGATAAACCCTCTGGGGAGCCATGGGAACAAAGTAGAAGTAGGCAGAAAGCCCTATAAATGCAGTCAATGAATCCACACATCACTGCAAATCCATTCTATTTACTCATTAACTCCTTTCTTCCCTATCTCTGCATAGCCTACCTCACTCTCCTTCCTGTGTGTCTATGCGCTGCAAGGATTAGGTGTCAGCTACAGATGGGATCAGCATGAGTGAGACTGCTGCCAGCTGCTGGAATCAGTCTGGAGGTGTAAGTGCCTCAGGGCTGTGGTGTCAGCTACTGGTGCGAATGTGGGGGTCCCAGCCACCAGCCAGTGTCCCAAACACCAAGTAATGCATGGGACTGGCATGACTGAGGCAGGGGTGGAGCTTAATACCTGTGGCTGGAGCTGGAGTGCAGGTGATGTACCTGGTGCCCACATACCTCGTGCTGGATGATGCAGGTCAAGTGTCTGCCTTCCCCAAACTGTGTGTGCCTGGGGTGAGCATTTGCTAACAAACTCAAAGCTGGCTGAGCCAGTGAGCATGAGGGCTTGGGGCAGGCTGGGGTATTAGGCAGGTGAAGGGTCTCTGATTATACTCAGAGTATGGGATGCCTGTGGGACAAGTGTGTCAGCGTTGCTAGTAAGTACCAACCTGGACAAGACAGTGAATAAGGGACCCATAGAGTGGGTAAGAGAGCCAGGATCTGTGCAGGGATGCTAGGCACACAGTGCCAGTACTTGAGGAATCTATGAACATGTATATTGTGAACCTGGAGAGCATTGTGTGTATGCCTGCATTGAGGAAGGGGATGTGGCTGCCTGGGCTTGTTTTACATGGGTCCTGTAGGCAGAGGCAGCTGAAGGCACGGCTTGTCTGTGGCAGCCTGTAAGTAGCCACGTCAGTCCCGTGTGCATGTCTGTGTCTCTCAGACACAAGCTCAGCTTCACTTCCAGCTGAACCTGCAAGTGGGAAAGCGGCAACTACATTATGCAACCCAGGGTAAACACATCCCTGGTACACCAATTACCTGAGACTGGGCTCCAGTAGCTGTGCAGAAGTCCTGAGCCAGAGCTGCTGAAGGTGATAATCAGATAACATCCCATAATAGAAATGTGTGTTCAGAGAACAAAGTGTTGAAGAGAAGGTGAACTGTCTTACATTTATTCTCTAGTCCCATCAGCAGCTTTTAACCTTTTTGTCTTGGTGGCTTAAGCCACAACAGTAATTTTCTGGCATAAAACAATTGGTTCACCATATGGAAACAATCAGAGCTGATAATGACAAATAGTTCTTCTCATTATTGGTGTCAGGGAGCAGGAAGTGAGGCTGTCCCAGGACTGAGGAAGCCATAAGCAGAGGAGGGCCATAATGCAGGCTAGACAGCACCCCTAAAACTGGGGTACAGGCTCATAGAACCTAAACCAGGCAGGCAGAACCAAGTGGTAAGAGCAACAGCTCCCATCTGAAACCAATCCAGGAAATCCAAACGTCCATTCAGGAATAGGGCTGGGCCCAGGCATAGTTTAGGGGAGTGCAGGACAACACAGTCTGAGATGAAACACCAGCTGAGGGCTCATGGATGGCGGACAATCTCCCTGGCAAGACTGCTTAGGGACATTAAGGCCCAATACCATCCTCAAGGGCTCTGACAACTGGATTCACAGTTGACAGCAGGTTTAAAACTGAATAAGAAGTATTTTTCCCTCTTATCAGGATGGGCAACTGGATGGCAGGACTGAGCTGTATCCATGTGCTGTATTTAGATGACAAGGGTAAGAAAGTACTGGGGCTGGAGAAAATACATCTCTGTTGCTCTGTCTAGCCTCCTCCCCTCCAGAATATGAAATGGACATGTCACTGCATACTCTTGACATGTACCAGTATTACTCTCATTTTTATTTATTTACTTATTAAAAAAAAAAACCAACCATTTTCTTGCAATTATAACTTCTGATCTCTTTTACAACTATGAATCGCAGAAGCTGCACAAAAGTCATTATTACTAGTTTTTATGCTGTAAAAGTAATTTCCATCAGGTTAAATTATACATACATTTTTCAAACAGAAAATCCAAACATTTCAAAGCCTACCTTCATAGTGCATATTCTGTATTGCATTCTGATAGTTTTTTCCCTCTCCCCAGGAGAAAACCCAGGAATATTTACCACAAACCTTTTACCATGCAATTCCTGTAAGCTAGACTACACCTACTTTCATCTTACACAGACTTTTGGCGTAATTGAAGCTGCCCATGAAAACTAACAGGATTTAGAAGATGCTTCCTGGTTAGTCTGATGGTAATAGTGAAAGAAGGCAAAGAAGCATAAGATCTCCAGACTACTGCATCTCCTTCAGCCTTCTCGACCCTTTGCATCTGCAAGAACAAAAGATTCATTGCTCCCTTACCCTCAGTGACCTTTTGAAAAGAAAAAAAGACCCAACCAAAAACACATCACTTCTGACCATGACAAGTTACTTCCTAGAAGAAACTCCCAGTCGCATTTGGCAGCAAAAACTTACTGTTTCTAAAACAACTAAAAGCTATATGGAATATGTCCGGATAACAACCAAATCACACGTGGAATAAGGAGGAAAAGACCTCAGAAGATAACCAGGAAGTAGAAGAAGGTCGTGCTTGGCATGAGAGCCTAGATGCAATCTCACCAAGTCTGACACCATGATGACACAGGTTGTACAATGCTTTCCATGTGAAAAGGGGAAAAAATATGATTCACAGATAACTTGCCCTTTATTTCAAACCAATTGCTGTGTTCATGCATGTCCTCATATGACCTTCATTCTGTACACAGAGATTTCCACTGTCCACATCAGCAAACTAATCCAGACCGTTTAGCTCATCCTAAACAAAGCTAAACAAAGAGCAAGTCAGATCAAAAGATATAACCAAGTAAGAAGAGATGAGCTGAACTCTTGGTGCTGCTTAGCATCTGTTACATCTTGTTACTTGCTGGCAGTAAGATTTCTGCTGCACAACATTTAACAGCATCAAGTTCACATACTTCACTACTGGAACAGAATTCAATTTATTACCACTTCAGGAGGGCTGTGTGTACCTGTTTAGGCAAAAACCAATCTGCAACCCTCCAGAAGACTTTCCTGTTCCATGGAAGTATGATAGCTTGCTTAGAGACCTCTTAACTTGGAGCTGCATTGCCCAATACTGAATACACACAGCAGCAGCTCCAGAGATGAATTCTACCTTTATATTTTTTGACAAAACCAAAATACTTCATTGCCATCCTCATAGCTCAAAGTATCCCAAAAGCACCTTCAAATTTCTTTTGCTTCCTCTAAGACTGCAATATGCCAGCTTCCCAGAGGTACATCTTTTGTAGCATGTAACTCCTCACAAAAATGGCTTTCTGAATGAGGAGGTATTTTGAATAATTTCATAAATATCGAAATAATGTCCATCTGATGGCTGCTTCTAACAGTGCATCATGTGAAAATACTCCAGCAACTCAGGAAATATTTCAGACTTCATGGGAAAGGCCTCAGGTTAGAAAATGCTCAAGGTCCGAAACCATTCAGGCAAGTGCTGGAATAAAATACTGAAGTGAAACATCCTCATGCAGCAAGACGAAGTGGACAATTCTTTTACTTACAATATCTGTAAAAGAGAAAAAAAATTAAAAAAAAAATCCATCCTAAAGCAGGAAAAATACTTACATTTTCTGAATGCCATCATAAGAATACAGTGCTTCTACCATTGCTGACAGAAGGATGACTAGACATATTCAGGTCCTTGAGAGTTTAGGAAGCATTAATAGTCTATGAAAGCTGATACCAAAAAGCAAATATGTAATAGGTATAGGTTTATAATGCTAAAATTATTATTTAAATCTTCCTTGGGAAATTCTTAGCATCTGATCTAAACCATAATACAAAGATGTTCTCAGGAAAAGCATATAGAGTTATTAAAGTAGAATATAAACCCCTGCATAGGCTTCTGCTAGAAAGTACATTTATGGCTAGAAACACTAGCTGTATAAAAAGCATTTTGGTATTAGAATCAATGTAAGAAGGCATCCAAAGGGAAAAAAAAAAAAAACAACCCATGACAGTAAATGCCAGTTTCTCCACTAGAAATTAAGGACTTTAATACTTTCGAAAAATAATACCTCAGAATAATAATAAAAATAACAACTTCAAAACAAAGACAAGACACCCATCTTAGTCAGTCTGATTAAAAAGGATCTTGACTTATTTTTTTTTTCTTCCCCAAGAGCTTAAAGTCTGAAGCTTACTGCCTAAAAATATAAAGTCCTTGGGTCCAATAAAAAAAATCAAATTTCAGACATAACAGAGGATATGCTGTTCTGCCAAGACTACAAGTAGAGCAAACATCCCTCCTTGGAGTTTGCAAACAGCTGCTGAACTTACTGCACAATGCTTTTGTAGGATTGACCTGCTGTCCAGCAAGCAGCTGCTGCAGCTTCCTGATGTCTATGCGTGCCTCAGCCATACTTTCCGGATCTCTGCCTTGAGCAGAACTTTGACACTCATCCTCTGATGCTAAAAGCATAAGAACACAAGACTTAGATAAGGAGTTTCAACATATACAGGACACAACTAAAAATTGCTGAAGCAATGGAACTAAAATGGCTTGTTTTTCAGAAAGAAGCAGTGCAAGGAAAAGAAAGCACAGTTTTCCTACAAAGCTGTCAACAATACCAGAGGAGATTCCCCACCCCTTTAAACACGAAACAGCCATTGGCCACGTTCTCTTTTACGATTTCATTTGAAGACTTTAAAGTACATGATGCTATTTTCTAAAGAATAAAAAGTAAGTAGTTCTAATCAACACACTTAAGTAATGAGATCAGACAGACACAAGAGGTAGCAAACAGAGAAACTTACCCCAGGGAGGATTTCCCAGGTCTTTAAAATGTGTTGTTACAGATACTAAGTCAGTTTCTATTTTCAAGTTCATTTCTCCACTCAAGTTTGCTTCAATCACCTGCAATACAATCAATCAATCTCAATTTTAGGCAACCCACTTTTACGCTGCAGAATTACAGAAGAATACAGTTCAGTTTTGTTCAAATACAAGCTTCCAGAAGCACTTCAGGTCAACCATACTTTCTTAACATGGTTTGAACATTCAAATGTTCAGCTACAAAGTGCATTTCTCATCACTCCTGTATGAATTATCCTAGACCAAACTCTCAGAAATTATGAAAAGAAATAAATATAGTTGCACACCAGTACTTTTAGAACAAGTGACAGGGTTTGAAGGAGGCATGCCTCTTTGCTGTCCGTCTCTCAGGGACAGAGCCGGGGTGACACAAGCCCCGGTGGGGAGATCTGTGAGTCCAGCAGCAGAGACTTTATTCAAACTTCCCGCAGCTTATAAGGCAGCTGGGGGGAAGGGAGGGGTTTGGCCTCTCAGCTAGCCAACAGGAGGAGACGGGAGATTAACACCCAATAGGAACCCAGGGAACGGGGAGAGACAGCTGAGGGCTGCAAGACAGGTTAGGATAGGGGCGTGGGCTGGCTCTGTGGGGACAACAAACCTGGTGCTGCCCTGGGGAAGCAACGTGGATACTGAGTGAAAGGGGTTTATACAGTGGAAGGCCCTGTACAATAAATTCGCGATGCCTGAGTTTAAGCTGTAAATGTTTTTTGTGTTGACTTTGGGAAACTGCATCTGCCGTGATTTTTCCTCTAAAGATGCTCTTTCCAAGACTTGTTATCCGTGCTCTCACAAACAAGTATTCGCTTTGGGAAATTCATGTGCTGAGAAAAAGGCTTTAGAAATGAGAGGCTGAAACTGAAGAAATGCAAGGATTCCTGCATTTCCATTCAGCTTCTCAACAAATGGAAACTCATAGTCCATATGACACACACAGAATATGGAATGCACCAAGAGTTGACGTACAGTTACAGAGCTGCTTTACAAAACTTAAAACCAGACAACCACTGCATCAGATCAGTAACTCTAAGAAGGACTCTGAACTGTTAGAAATCTTGGAAGAGTGCTGAAAGCTTTCAAATTCCATCCTGACCAAGTGTCTAACCAGAAGGAGACTATATATGACCTTACAAAAATCCCAAGCAGATCAGAGGATTCCTAAACTGTAACCAAGCACTTCATTTCTGTGATTAGAATTCTGAATAATTTTTAAAAAGAGGCATCGCAACCAGAATCTCCTATAGAATGGAGATGCCAAGCTCCCATACAATGGGCCAAGTACTATCTGAAATTGCTTCTAAGCCCATTTTGCAGCACTGATCTTGACCAGTTTTATTACCAGGATGCATCTAGCAAAAATAATTAATTGTGATAACTGATGTTTTTGCTCTTTATTAACATGAAGGCAACGCACTTAGTAAAGTGGGTATGCCCAGTGTTGATACACTACCTCTTCTGAGTGCTGCTGAACTCCAAAATTCAATCCCATCATACAGCTAACCAACATGAGAAAAGATCCTGAGCTCTGGAAAAAAAGCACTGTGCTTAATTTTGTGTAGGCATTTCCATTAAGGACATGGAGGAAGAAAGCAAAAATTAAACCCCCCCAAAAGATTGAAAAGGGAAAAGAGTCTGAAGTGTATTTTCAGAATGACTGCCACTTGCAAAATTGCCAGAAACCCAGGGTAATCTCTCAACTCTTCTAAGTCTGGAAAACTGATACTGCCCCAATTTCAGGACTGTCAGTTAACAGAAAATGTCCTATTTATCAAAACTGGTATAAGTGGCACCAAAACCAAACTGTTTCAAAGCTCTACACTTACTAACTTTCATGTTAGTCAATTCTGGTGACTGTGAGGAAAAATAACTTAATAAAAAACCCAAAGCCCTTTTTTGTCCAACTGCAGAGGAGTTCTTTCGATGGAAGGCATTCCAGGACTCCAGAAATCCAGAGTAGACTGGAAACCCACCATGTCAGAACCTAAAGCACAGTCTGTCATCCAGGAGCTATTAGAAGAATTTCCTTTAAATCCTACCTCAAGTTTACCTAAAGTTCATTCACACAGACATCTAACCCAAGACTCATATAATACACATTTCTTTAATGCAGTCACCTGGAAAGTCTCTAGCTACTTCCTGAAGGACTGTAAATTCTTATCAGCTACGAAAACTGGCTTGTAGCAACACAATGCCATGTTCTTTCAAGAATTCAGTACAAAGAGTAGGACCTTCTGTAAAGCTCTTCAGTGTAAATCATAAAATAAATCCCATCGTTCTCTTCAACTTTACAGAGTCTTCAGGTGCCTTGATTTTAATGTCTGTCTCATCCCAAAATAAGATATAATGTGGTGTCACCAGTTTAGGCAACAGTGAAATGTTATGTCCCTGATGAAGTAAGGTCTGCAGCATGCATACTTGAAGTGACTTAACTTACAACGAAATTGCTGAGATTCTTCATTCTTTCCACAACGCTCTTCATTGTTTTCAGCACTGGTAGGTAAATACTGACCTAGAAAGACATAAGAACTTCATTTGCACAGGTTTTTCATGTGTGTCTGGGATGTGACACATTCATTTCTCCTTTCAATTCTATCTTAGTTTGGACTGAGTTATCTATGGCTTGCAGGATACACAGTATTTATCTGAAATCAGCAAATGTCTCAGAATAGAGGAACTCTTTCCCATTATACCAAGAGGCAACTGCACTCTAGCAATTGCTTCAGACATAATATTCCATATCTGTGTTCAAAATAAAATGGAGACAGGTTTTTGCAGGTCAGATGCTCACACGGACATGCACCTGTGTAACGAAGTAGTTAATAACTATAGCCAAAAAGGGAAGAAAAAGATTCCTATGATTCTGCATTTATTTCTGGAACTGCAGCAGTGTAAATCTGAAATAACAGAACAAAATTCTTCAAGTTTCTATTCAGTTGTATGTCTTCAAAATTTACACTTAGCTATAGAGGTAACAGACATCCACAACCTCAAATAGGAGCACATTTGCACAAAGACCTTTCCTTGCAAGTCTGCTAAAAGTAACAAAAGATATAGAAATGATATCTAAAAATCTAAAAGGAGGAAACACACGTATCTCTAACTCTGCCAGGTAGGTCATGAATTTCAGAAAGAACAAACTATTTGGGCCATTTGGCATGGAAACAGCCAGAACAGCCTAAACCTGTGTGGTTTAGGGATGCTCCACTCCAAAGACATGCAAGTCCTTTGCTCCTCCCTTCCTCCACTCTGAATATCACAAACAGGTAACTACAGGCTCTGTTTTCACAGGTTCTAGACTCTCTCGTCAAGACAGAAGCCATGTTCCATCCCTCTCCAAATCTGTAGCCTCCAATCTTCCCTCTTTTCAACTCCTTTCCAAATCCCACCAGTATACTCTGTAGCAGTAGCATTCCAATTGCAACATCCCCTTTCCATAGGGAATATAAAAACAGAGGCTTACATCAAAGTCTGGCACAGTGGGCTCTCTGAAGTCATTCCATATTCTTCTGGGAATAACCCCCACAGGAATATCATGTGTCACAATCCTACTGCTGCTTGATAAGGATGGCTTGAGGAAAAGAAAGGATGCTCTTGCAGTTAAAAACAGGAGTTAAATTCCAAATTTAAAGCTTTCAGACCCACTGTGGGCAGTAACTATGTGTCTCAGATGTCAGTTCCAGTTTTCCCTAGGTCCCTCTCCATTTGCTCTTAAGTGGACTTCCCTTTTGAATGAGGAAGAGTTTCTGAGGTATCATTCATTAGTATACATACACATGTATATATATGTGTGTATATATATATACATATAAAAAAGATATCCTTAGACCTGAAGAGGTGAATCAGTAGTGTTACCAACAACAACAAAAAAATCAGAAGACAGCAGTTTGAAATGCAATGTCAGGATAATGAAATGCAAAACACTACACTGAAACTTAATGGCTTCAATAAAAAGGCACTAATCCACAGAAGATATAGAGAATGAAGTAATGAAAAAAAATGGACATTAGAAAAAGTTGTTTCAATCACACAGCTTTCATTCTTCCTCCTCCTTGCCTTTCGGAAAATACAAAGCTGGTTCTGTGTGCTACCAATCATAATGGTAAGAAAGGCTATTGAAATAGAAAATGGCAAAATTTTTCTTCAGTTTTCTAGAATTACACTAAATATTATCATTTGATCTTAGGAAAAGCACTTAATTTTAAAAAGCTTTTTCTTAATAATGAACAGAAAAGCATGGTTGCACTTACTAACTCAACAGCAACTCTGAGACAGGGACAGTGTTTATTAGTCAACTTGATCTTCACTGCCTTAGCACTGTGGGCAGTTTTTAATGCTCTTGACAGGTTCTCAGGCACCAACTCTAAATAGATTTCATTGTGCTCTGCAGCTACTCCTTCCATCTGAAATTCGTCGAAGAAATTGCCCTACAATTTTTAAAAGTTGGGAAATAAAATAAAGCAAATGAGGAGGGGCAAGATTTATCCATCAGACCTTAAGCCTAGAACTGCATGTATTACAACAAGAAACTCTCCTCGGACTGGCATCATCTGTCGGAATCAAAACAGGCTGCATAAGCATGAAGATTCATTGCTTCAGGCTCTAAACCTATTTATTTTCTCCTCTAACACTTATCAGTCAACAAAACAGTGAGTTATGCTTTCCTGTTTCCAGTTCTGGGCAGGCCCACGTGGGCCAACACACCCCAAAGCTTTACACTTGAAGTGACAATTAAGGTAAAGAGGATATCTAACCTGAAACACCTATGTGACCAGACAGGCCTTAAGAGACCTGGCACACCTCAGGTGAGGGCTGCAAGAAATACACCAAACCCAACGACATGCTCTGGTTTTCAACACCATGTGGTTTCTGAACTTCCCTGGGCTCACCTGGCACAGCTCACACCACATACTGGCGCCTCCATTTGCTACTTTATCGGAGAGGATGAAATACAACTTGCAGACAGTAAGGCGCAGGGTGCAGGTCTTGGCTAACTTGGCGATTGTGTTAATTACACCTGCCGGAGGGAGGGAGGGAGGGGACGTTATAGAGGTGACTGCTCCACACACCCCGGTCCCTGCGGGACAAGGGAGAAACCTTCAGTCTCCAAAAACGCAGCTCGTGCTGCTACGGAAACTCCGAAACAGCTCGGGGCAAAGGAAAGCGCCTCACGCTGTCTCCTCCCAGGAAAGGCCTCCGGGCCCGCGGCCCGGGCCTCACCTCCCTTCCTCTCCCGTTTGCCCAGGAAAGCCGACCCCAGCCGCTCAGCGAGGCACTGCCGCCCTCCAGCCTGACCTGCCATACTCACGGCTGAAGTTGTTGAGGCAGGCGAGATCCACAATCTTTGCCCGAAACCGCATGGCGGCGCGGCGCCCCGACACCCGCTACCGCCCCGGCACCGGCACCCGCTGCTGCCCCGGCACGGCTGGGGGCGGGCCCAGGCTGAGGGTGGGCAGAGAAGGAGAGGGCTCTGCCCCAACAGCTCCTCCCGGGCAGAGGCCGCTGTAGCTGGTTCCGGGTGCGCGGCCCGCCTGCCCTGGCTGACTTCCTTTCTCTGCCCTGGCTGACTTCCTTTCTCTGCCCTGCCTGACTTCCTTTCCCTGCGCTGCCTCACTTCCTTTCTCTGCGCTAGCGGTTCTAGCAGGCGGCGCTGAAAAGCTCACCTCAAAGCAAAACCTCACGGTACTCCCAGCACATATGTCTAAATTCATCTGTACTGGCACCGGCCCAGTCTCGAAGAATTTTCTTCTTCAAATCCAAGGGGCCCCTTACAGCAGACCCCCTCAGGCCATGGCACCGACGCTACCCTGGGCGCAGAACTATGAAGCTGTGGTGAGGGAGGAAAGCAACAGTCAATGTAAGAAAGCAGAGCAAACAGAGCTCTCTGTCAGGCCTTTCCACCCACCCATTGTTAGCCAGGACACCCAGAAAGGGCTGGCCAACCTGAAGTGTTTAGAGAAAGGCATTCTCTGTCAGACCAGGCAGCTCATGCAGACAGGCTCACTTTGCCTGGTGTTATTTCAACTTAGTGCATGATGTGCAGGGCTTTATGCAGAGGCTGGAATAGGTCAAGGAAAACCTTGCTTTACCTGTTAGTGTGCAGCATGGCTGTTTTCCTATAGAAGACGTTGCCCTTTGCCTTATGGTCTTGGTTCCTTGCAGTCCTTGAAAACTATAGCATTTGCAGAGATGGTTTTCTAGTGTTGTTCTTTTTGGTTCCTCAGGATTGTCTAGTGTTCTTCTGTCACACTGCAGTTTAGGTCAGCTAAATTTCCTCTCTTTCATTTGATTTTGAAGTACTTAGGGATGCTGCTCACATCTTGATGCTGTCTTTCAATACAGTCATTATGAAGAAAATTAAAACAAAACCTTAGGCCTATGTATCTATATCTGACAGATACAGCAACAGTTCCTGGAGAGGTTATTCTCTGGTTGCATTGCTCCCAGGCCCTGTGCACTTCATATAAATCAGCTGAATATTTTTCTAGAGAATCTACTCCAGTGCAGTAGGATGTAACAAATTCTGATTTAGGATCCTGCCAGCTACACCAGTTTGTTGCAAATGTGTGGTTTATGGTCAGTCAAAGAATCACCATCAAAAGTTTTAGTAAAAGTGGTCTTAATATAATATAAATATGACTTAACGAAGTTCAATGACAAGTTTCATTCTATCGTGGATGAAACATACTAAAGAAAGTTGAATTTGAATAATTTTAGAATGATTTACACTGAGAGCAAAGACAAGAAAGAGTGAGGAAGACCCTCGTGTTGAGTGACAAGGTTCAGACTATATCCTCTGCCTTTCTGAACTGCTGATAGAGCACAGGTGTAGCTAGGTCCTGTCTTAGTCTCAGACCTGTTGGATAACAGGTTATAGCTAAAGGAATTAACTACATGGATTTCATTACTATTATTTCAGCATGCTATCAGCAACTTACTGAGTATCTGTTGTGAATAAAGGGTCTCTCTGCTTCAGGTAAAGGAATACCTCTCAGTCTCGTGTAAGGAATCTCAAACCTTGAGAGGCATGCCAGCTCAATTGAAGAGTCACTAGTGTGCAGTCCAGTTGCAATTTAGAGAGAATTTGAATTGGACTCATCTGACAATCTGTCATTAGTAGAAAAGCTTCTCTGCTTCAAGGAGCAACCTTGAGAGGTGTCTCAGCTCAAGGGGAGATCACACCATGCAGACATTCTGATGAGCAGGGACCCCAAGGGAGACTCATTCAGGCTGTCATATTTATGGAATAAAATGATTGGCTTGTTGTCAAATTCCATGTGATGGGAAAGGTATCCATAAAACTCCTTGTACTTGCAACTGTCTTTGTTCCTAGGTGAAGAAGTCTTGGAAAACCCACCTTCTGTGTGTTAATCACAGGATTGGTGTTACAAGCTCATATGCATCATTGCTCACTGTATCACTGTGCTCACTTGTGGGTTTCCTGGAGGTGTTCTTGGCCTATATCTCAAGCCTTTACCTCTTTTGGAGCCTGTACCCAACTACAGGTGGTTTGGTTAAGGGGTGCATCCATCACAAAGAGTTAGGCAGAATCAATCCTGATTCAAATATTTAAATAATCAAGTCAGCACTGTGGTTTGGTATATACTGTATTTTTCAGTATAGCACTTCGCTGATAAAAGTCATTCTAACAAGATGATAGTCCACTGTCAAATCTCTCACATGATGTCTGTGAATAAACTACATCCCCATCTTTTGTAAATTGCCATTTCTGTTGGCTGTTGTTGTTGAATTTTTCTGAGGGGCATCATTGGTCTCCAGGATCACAGAAATGGTTCTGTATCACTCTAGTCTTTAATTGGTAGACCCCTGGCTGAGATATGGCCACACTGGAGTACAGGAGATCACTGAAAGGTGTAGCAGGAGAAGGGGATGTTAAGGGAGATAGTAGCAAGTGCAACAGTGGAAAAAAATTATTCCTAGAGGAGTGATTTGGAAATTCTTGGGAAGTCAGAGTTGAGTGAGGAGGAACTAGATGGTCAGCCCACTCGAGTTTTTCTTGCCCAAATTGAAGGAATACCTGGGAAGAACTATAACAAGAGTTTTGTAGTCAATCTTGAGAAATAACTGGTAGGTCACTTACTATGTTAACCCTTTCCTGCATTAACCTTTATTTACATTTAACATCTTGATTTCTTTCAGGATGTCAAGTTCCAATTTAGGCTGAGTTGAGGTCTTCAAAAGTAACTTTCTCTCCTTTTTTTTGCCTGTCAATTATTTCTACTCTATTCACTGTCATTTCTGCTAGTGGTGTATCCCAACATTTCACACAGTAGTCCTTATCCTCTGATAGCCAGTGAAAGCAATTCCGTGACCATTGTTGATGTTTCTTTGTTATGTCAGCTCTTACAAGAGCATACATAACTTTAGGAACTGAATAGTTTCAAAGTTTTCTGAAGATGCTACTTTTCCCTTTTTTTATATAAATATACTAAAAAACCTTCTACCTTTTGTTTTACCTTTCAGAACCCAACTATGGCACTCCAGTGCTCAAACCTGTTGCTTAAGTCCATGTGACTTCTCAACAGAGCACACTGAGATGAGCCAACATGGGTTTAGGAGGGGCAGATCCTGTTTGACCAACCTGATCTCCTTTTATGATCAGGTGACCCACCTGGTGGATGAGGGAAAGGCTGTGGATGTGTCTGTCTGGACTTCAGCAAAGCCTTTGACACTGTCTCCCATAATATACTCCTGGAAAAGCTGGCAGCCCATGGCTTGGACAGGGCACTCTGTGCTGGGTCAGGAACTGGCTGGAGGGCCCAGAGAGTGCTGGTGAACGGGGCTGCATCCAGCTGGCAGCCAGTCACCAGTGGTGTCCCCCAGGGATCAGTGCTGGGACCAGTCCTGTTTAACATCTTTATCGATGATTTAGATGAGGGGATTGAGTCCATCATCAGCAAATTTGCAGATGACACCAAGTTGGGAGGGAGTGTCGACCTGCCGGAAGGCAGGAGGGCTCTGCAGAGGGATCTGGATAGACT